TTTTTTTTTTTCTTTGAGAGAGGGCACAAGTGAGCGAGGGGCAGAGACAGAAGCGGGGCTTGAGCCCAACTGGAACTCCTGAACCGTGAGATCATGACCTGAGCCAAAGTCAAATGCTTAATGACTAAGCCACCCAGGCAACCCCTACATACCTTGATTTATTTAAAGTGTATTCAAATTAGAGAGAGACTGTGGGGCAGAGAAAGAGAATCCAAAGCAGGCTCTAAGCTCTGAGTTGTCTGCACAGAGCCTGATGCAGGGCTTCAACTCATGGACTACGAGATCATGACCTGAGCCAAAGTCGGCCACCCAATTGACTGAGCCACCCAGGTGCCCCACCTTGATTTTTAAATAACGGCTGTTTAATAACTGGCTGCCAAATCTTGAAAATTGAACAGTTAGCTATTGTGAGTAGGTACAGGCCACTGGTTGAGGGGACTGGGTGCTACGGAGTGAAATGCGAATGGGAGTGGCTGGGGAGGGTGGGGGGAGGGAGGCTGAAAAGTGAAAAGGGAGGAGAGGTTGGGGAGCTAGGCAGGGCCCACCCCGCCAGACATTTGTGCTGAGGAGCTGTGTCCTGAGGGAGAGGGCTGTGCTAGGTGACTCCAGAGGTCCCTGTGAGGGGACCGGGAGCACAGGAAGGCTGGGAGTGGCCCAGGCCGCAGATGGTAAGGATACAGCAGGAACCATGGGGACGGGAAGGAGGGACAGAGTTCAACATGACTGGGAGTGGATGGTCATGACCCCAATCTCCTATTCTGTGAAATGGGTGTAATACCCCCTTTCCTGGGATCGTACACACTGGGGAGGACAGCAAAGTCCGTGTGGGATCCACGGGGAGGTGCTGTGAAAGGTGGGCATTCAGCTATTAGTGACACGCGCCTCCTCGGGTGTGTGAGGGGCAGCGGGTGAGAGCGGGAGGCACTGACCAGCACAGCTGTGCTCCAGAAGCGTTCCACGTGAGCCCCAATCCACCCCCTTCAGGTTCAAAGAGCGCGTCCTGCAGACCCCAAATGACCTTCTGGCTGCCGGTTTTGAAGAGCACAAGTTCCGAAACTTCTTTAATGCTGTGAGTCAACCTGGGCAGGACGGCTGAGGGACCAGGTTCTCCCACACTGGCCGAGCAGACAGCCGCCGGCATTGGCCAGAGTCCGTCACGGCCCACGGCTCTGTGGCTCTGCCCGTCTGGCTCCTCCCAGCTCGGGAGGGACTGGCACTTGCTTCCTGCTTGTGGGGACGTGGGCGGACAGGGCCCTGCCCTCCTGGAGAGGAGGTACCTCCTTTGGGAGGTAGCTCTCAAGCTGGAAACTTCCCCCAGCCTCCTTCACGCACTCCCTCTCCACCCTACTCCCCTGACCCCCTCGTGAAGGGGGCAAGGGGGCGGGGTTGGAGGATTCAGTTCTGACTCTGTAAATAAGAATCCCAACCACCACAGTGATGGAAGGAGACCCCAACTGCTGTTCCCCAGACATGGCTCTGGGCTGAGGTGCTCATGGCAGAGTACCCTTCTTACTTTGGTCGCAGATCGATTTAGTTTGGTACCTCAACTTGAGGATTTAAGAACAGAAATCCACACGGAGGGGAGGATCCTGGGGACAGGGCCCCTCGGAGGAGGGCAGGTCTTGCCCGGGCCTCTCCTGACTGATAGCCCGTGGCGCAGTTTTACAGCGTGGTGGAACTCGTAGAGAAGGACGGCTCGGTGTCCAGCCTGCTGAAGGTGTTCAATGACCAGAGCACCTCAGACCGGATCGTGCAGTTCTTGCGCCTGCTCACCTCGGCCTTCATCAAGAACCGCGCGGACTTCTTCCGACACTTCATCGATGAGGAGATGGACATCGAGGACTTCTGCACTCACGTAGGTCCTCAGGGTCTCAGGCTTTGGGGACTTAGTCCCCAGGCCCGGGCTCTGCTGTGCAACACCCACCTCCTGGGATTGTACACACTGGGGAGGACAGACAAGTCCGTGTATGGGCTGCAGGGAAGTGCTGGGCAGGGCCCTCTGCCCTCAAGAGACTTGAGCACCAGCATCCCTAGGCAGGGGACCTGAAGTCACGGCTGCATTTGTAATTGCAGAACAAGACGAGCAAGCCAGAAACAGACCCTACTTGAGCTGCCTGAACTGTGTGGCTCTGGGCCAGTACTGTCCCTGCCTGGGCCTCAGGTTCTCCATCTGAGAAATGAGGGCCTCGGATTGGACCGTTTACAGAACCGCGGAGTAGCAGCCCCAGAGTCACATTTGTCCTAAGATGTGTTTGGCCTATGATGCATTTATCTGAAAGCGTAGCCAACATTTAAACATTGGGCAGTTTTCAGGACGAAGAGGATTCCTCTCCAAGATCCAGCTCTCAGGGCCTTGTTCTTGCGTGGCAACGATCAGCAGGAGCCGAGGGGCAGGCACCTGCCCCAGTTATAGGGGACCCACTCGCCAGCCTGCCACCATCTCTGCCTCTCTCTGTTGCCTCTTCAGCATCTGGACTCACTCGCCTGGCCTCTGTTAAATCCCTTCACGCCAGTCCTCTTCTGCTCTGACGTTCTTTGGTTCTGTGCATTAAGAAGCCAAGCTTAAATATTCCTGTGCCCCCTTCCCGATTCCTCAAGGTAGTATAGGATGCTCTTCCCACACACACCTACACCCCAGAATCCAGATCTAGGTTCAGGCCTCGCAGTCCTAGCAGATTCCTGGCTGTTACCTCCTCCCTGATGAGTTGTCGTTAAGATGACCTCCCAGCACAGACGCTGTGACCCGGGGCCACCAAAGCCAGGGCGGGGTTTCTCCCTCGTCCTCCTTCCTAAACTGGGTTTTTGCATCTTGGCTTTTGCAGGAAGTGGAGCCCATGGCCATGGAGTGTGACCACATCCAGATCACAGCCCTGTCTCAGGCACTGAACATCGCCCTACAGGTGGAGTATGTGGACGAGATGGACACGGCCCTGAACCACCACGTGTTCCCCGAGGCTGCCACCCCTTCCGTTTACCTGCTCTATAAAACATCCCACTACAACATCCTTTATGCAGCCGATAAATGTGAATTACTTTTAGGACACGCAGTGGAGCCTGCCACCTAACGGGACTACATTCCAAATGGAACATTCTGACTTTTCACTTTTTTAAAGCAACTTAGACTACAGTTAGAAAACGTACAGCCTTTTGGGCCAAGTGGCCGGCAATGTGGCCCACCCGTCACGGACTGTGGTAACTTGGTGATATTCTTAGTATTTATTTTCATGGAGGATCAAATGCTTTCTAACTCAGGGCTACAAAGCCAGAATCCCTGGCTCTGCTCTCAGGTCCCTGAGACCCTGGGGAGGTCACCTCCCCTCTCTGGGCCTGTTTCTTCATCTGGACAAGGATGCTGCCAGTGCTGACATTCTGTTGTGTAAAAAGAGGGCCCTCTGGTGTCCTTTTCACCAGGGGTAGTACCTCTCTGTTGGGAGGACAAGCTCAAGATCGGCCGTCCTCGGTGACTTACCAGTTCCACAAAAAAGAATCCAGTCCAGTCAGCTGTTGGACTGGACTGTGGTGGATGGCCGACTGAAGCACTGGCCAGTTGAAGCCAACCTGAATGTAAGGACTTCAGCATGGTTCCAGACATTCACGATGGGCCTGTTCCCTCCCCCTAACTTGAGGGGAAAAAAAGACTTTATGCCAAAGTCTAGAAAGGGGCCTTCAGCATGAAGCTCAAGTTGTTGTGGCCCCTCTACCTCTCTCAGGTCCAGGACTGCCTGCCCCTGGGCAGGCCCTTCAGGATTCTGCAGCCAGCCCCACCTTAGCACAGGCTCAAGGAACACTGGGGTCTGGGACCAGGAAGTGGTCTCACCATCCCCATCACAGCCTGAAAGTAGAACCCAGATAATCCTCCAGGTGGAGACCCCACACGCAGCCACAGACTCCAGCTGGGCAGGGCAGACGAGTTTTGCAAGGCTGTCTGTGGCTTTTCTTTTTCCCCCTTCTTGGTTTGTGGGCTGGCGGGAAATCAGGTGGGAAAGAACGGAGACAAAACAAGGAAATGGGGAGTGGGGGAGATTTCTGTTGTGGAAACTGACTGGAAGCCTAGAGCCCTGGCTGGCAGTTGCCTCCTTCATCCGCCTGGACCTGCCCCTTAACACCTCGTCACCTTGCTGCCCCAGGACCTCAAAGAGCCCTGGTTGATTTGGGGCACAGGTGGCGAGCTCTTACAGGGGGTACTTCCCTGACCCAAGGACTTTGCTCACAGGTTCCATTCTGCAGGGATTCATTAGAATCCACTGGTGCTACAGTGCATGTCTGTTGCCAGCCAGACCGTGCACAGAACTAGGCAGCAGGCTGCTCCGAGGTGGGGCACACAGACTTCTGCCTTTGTGAAGACAGATGTGAGGGTGCTTTAATTCCAGGCAGGGACCCTGGTTCCCCTGTAGCCCTTAGCTCGAGTTTAAACCCAAGGGCTCACGCTCAGTGATTATGTCACCTTTCCACAGGAATGTAAAGCTGACCTTGATCTCTGAATTGGTTATGTGCCACCCTGTCAGGGTCTATGACCAATACACTGGAAGAAGGGGGATGGGAAGGAGGACATTACAGGACTTGTGACGATCAGGATCACCATATTCAAACTGAAGGGTATGAATACAGTACCGAGCTGAATGGCCCTGCTCCGAGGGGCTGCGAGATGGCCCGGGCCTCCAGCTGGGCTCTCGGGCACAGCATTAGTAGCACTGGCTGCCACTTCTCAGGATGTGTGGTGTCTTCACAAGAGCAGATTTCTCTTTGGCAGACCGGCTGGAGAAATTCCCTCTCAGACTTCCTATTCTGTGCTTCCAGGTCTGAGAGTCCGCCAGTGCTCCTATGGGACCCTCTTCCCAGGAGAGATCCTACTAGTTTAGAATCAGAACGTTAGAGAAAGGCAAATGATGCTCATGCTCTTACTCTGCGCTCTCCCCTTTTTTCCCAAAACCACTGGCCCAAGCCAAGCCATGGCTTTCTTCCTTCACGTCTGCACTCAGATCTTCTATGAAGGAAAAGCACCAGTGGAGAAAGGAAGTTGCAGAATTCAGTAACTTGTTAAAATCTAGTCATTCATGGAAATCACTTGGCCTGTCTGCAGCAGCCAGTCATGCTGGCATGACTTTTCTGGATAATTCTCCACCCCACCTCACAAAGCCATCTCTTTCCAAACTAAAATCAGGCAGGGAAGTTGCTTTGAGAGTCTGTCCTTGCAACTGCACATTTATTACTTTCTTTCCAAAGGGAACTTTATAAATGGGAATGTTTAACAACAAAAAGAACAAACTGTCCTTGCTTTTAACTAGGTTCCTATTTTAAGCACAAAGGGGCTCTGCACCCAGACTGCCTGGGTTCAAATCCCACCTTTTCACTTACGAGCTATTTGACCTCGGCCAAGTACTTCACCTCTCTGAGCTCCAATTCTCACACTGGTGAAACAAACAATACCTACACATCACAGGATCACTGGTTAAAGTGGAACAAACTGTGAGGAGAGCTTTGAGACCTGACACAGTGCTCTACAAGTAGGGGAGCAGCAGAACTCTTGCTGCAATGTGGAGAAATGCCACCTTAGGATGGAAACTGGCTTCCCAAAAGGGAAGTGTCAGGGAACAGTAGACAAGGCTAAGAAACATTCTCACCCCGAGCAAAGTGGGGGCAGGAGCTGTGACTGAGTAGCTACCCTGGGTGGGGGAGCCCAGGTCCTGTGGGGTATTGGCCAGGTCCGACAGCTTCTCCAGCACTGGGTGGAAACGTTTTCTTAGCATTAAAATGGTTTCCGTGACAACTTTTGTCCTAGTTTCTTAGTATTTGGTACCTGGCATGCACTGAAGATCAACTCTCCCACAGGGCTTCTGTGTACGAGTAAATCAGCAGGGGAGAGGGGCTCCTCCTCTAGTGGAAGGTCCAGATACTCAGGATGTTCTGCCCTTGAACTGGAGGTGCCAAAGAAACCACAGGACTCTCCAAAGCTTTACCTCAAGTCAGAACTGCTTGGGAGGCTAACCTTACCTTTTAAAACCTACACCTTTAGGGGCGCTCAGTCGGTTGAGCATCCAATTTCAGCTCGGGTCATGGTCTCAGTTTGTGAGATCGAGCCCCTCGTTGGGCTCTGTGCTGACAGCTCGGAGCCTGGAGCCTGCTTCCAATTCTGTGTCTCCCTCTCTCTGCTCCTCCCCTGCTCACACGCTCTCTCTCAAAGATTAAAAACAAAAACCTACCCCTTTAACATATTACCCCACCAAAAAATGAAAAGAAACTCCTGTTAGGAGACAAGAACAGGATGTCAACAGACATCAGTGGAGCTGTCTGTGATCCATTCACGACTCAGGTGCTGCTAAGATTTCTTAAACCTGTTTAAACCTCCCCTGTACTATTCAGATAATGGAGAGTCCCCTGCCTCTTCCAACAGCTGTCACTCAAGAACTGATCTGTCAGACTAGGACTGTTTTCTACTACAATCTCCTCTCCAGGTCACTGGTGACCCTGGGGAGACATTCCTTGGCAACACTGCTGTCTGTCCTTTTAAGACTGAAGCAGTTTTCTGAACTTGCCCTGAGCCCATAAGTTAATACTCACAGTTCTAACCCCAGGTCTGCCACCTGGCTGTTCTGCGATCCTGAGCACGTCTTAAGTGCTCAGTATCCACCTTCTCAACTACAAAAAGGTACTGGGACTTGTATGTCAGGACCTTGTCATGTTAAATGATAAAACAGATGAAAGTGCCCACCGGCGTTTAGTACTTGGTCAACACTCAGTGATCCCCGATTTTGAGTTCAGGCCAGCTGTCCCTTTGCAGTTACACAGCGGGGCTGAGAGAACACCGCCGCCATCCTGCCATCCTTGTCAACCATGAAGCCGAGGAGACACCTGTTTAGAAGCCCAGGCTTAGCTGTGAAGAAATCTAATCTTCTCTGGCAATTGTGGCTATTTACCCAGACTAGGCCAGAGAAAGCTCGGGTGGCACCAAAAGGTCACCAGTTCCCTCAGCAGGTACTTACACGATGCCCTGACCTAAGCCCCAGGGCTGCAAGGGATCATAAAAACAGCCTATGCCGTCAAGGAGCTTAGCAGAGACAATACAATGTGCCACGTGCTAGGAAGAGGGTGAGCACGGCTACTGTGGGAGCCACAGGACACCATGTCCTCCTGGGGGCTCAGGGACCCAAAGTACACACCGCAGCGCTCAGGGATGGGAAAGGAAAGCAGGCGGAGGGACAAGCTTGTATAAAAGGCTCAGGATAAGGGAAGCGGCACGTGGGACCCACGGGCAACAATCTGTTCAATCACACAGAGGAGGGGAGCGAAAAGGTGGGAGAAGCCAGCTAGCACCAGAGCCCGAGTGCCTCGCAATGCCAGACTCAGCACGCGGTCACTGGCCTCCCCACAAGTGGCTCTGACGTTAAGGAAGCCTGTATTCTCTTGGAACCCAAGGATGGCAGCCTCTTCCCTGCCCATCTTGCAGGGTGGCTCAGACAAGGCAAAAGCTGTGAGGGAGTGGTAGAGAGCTAAAGAGCCGTCAGGGGTCTGCTGTGGAGAAAAGCAGCAACACAAGCGAAGGCGTACTGCTCCATCCACACGTCCGGTGGGATGACACACACCCCACATGCATCCTGCAGCCAAAGGGTTAGCGTGGCTACGTTCCAGCTAAAAACTCAGGATACCATGCTGGTTCTGACTACGGTTTTTAATTGAGAAAACCACGCGGAACGTACAAGAAGCCTGTACACACTGGAATACAGAAATATATAAGCTGCTGCATAGAATTCTTACTCCAAACAACACAAATGTGCACAAGGTCTCGCCTGCAGTGGGCGCTGGCAAGGAAGAGGGAGATTTCTGTAACCGGGGTGGACAGTGGAGTGGAATGCAAAGTGGGCAGGTTTTCCATACAACCAGAGAACACAGAAACAACGCGCCGTCACCCACAGACTCTGACCTGGAGCGTGGTTAATTTGCACTTGTACTTGGCTGCGGCTGTTCCTGCTGCTGCTCTTTCGGCTTCTTCTTCTTCTTCTTCTTCTTCTGTTTGGCCAGGCAGCTCAAAGCAGACCCACCATCTCTTGGGGCAGACGTGAGCGTGGGC